GATCAAAAGTTATTTAAGATTTAAAAAGGTGTCAAATTATATCTGTTTTAGTACAATTACAAAAATTAGCCGAGACGTTTGGAACTAATTTTATTTTTTCGTATGTTTAAGCCAGTTTTGATCGGGTTTAACACATGAAAAATAAGACCGATCCAAACTCTGAGTTGATGATACATAAGATATTAATTCGTTGAGCTAACCAATTTTCAATTTACAAATTCAATGCGTTGAGATTCTTTAATGTGTATATAGTTAAAATTATTAACGAAAGAAGGAAAATATTTACAGTATTGTAATTAAAGTGGTTCATCATTAAAAATGAAAATAAATATACTACATTCTTCTAAAACGAAGTTTGTTATCTACATATATTCTTTAATCTATGCTAAAGCCATACAAAATTAATTTCTATAAAATTGATTCAGCAGGTCAGTTTTTACAAATGATTGAAAAAGTAAACTATTTGTTATTGAATGTTTTTTATTATGCATATGTAGGGTTGGAAATTATATGGTAGCTTAAATACATCTGCTGATACATATCTGATATATACTAGATCACGACGGAACAGAATAAATTAAAATGAATAATTTACTTTAAATATCTAATAAGAAGTTAGATGTGCTTACTTAAAATATCTCGATCAGGGTTGGCATGAATGGAATTCGGACAATGGAAATCTATCCGATGTCCAGTGTCCGAATTATCCTATCAAAAAAATGGTCATTGGACGGGATATAGATTGATCACATGAAATTGAATCATCTCATACAATATTAGCATTAGGGAACAAAAACTACGCAGACAGTATGGTTGGTATAGGTGAGCACACGCTGGCCATATGGGCGAATTTGCGTCATTACTACTAAAAATGGCAAAATGTTTAACAGCCTTTTATTCACAGGTCTATTGTAGATGATTTTACCATCACGATGAGACGATTCTAACGAGCCCAAAATCGCTAAAATCCAATCACAGGATCCCAAGATATTTAAAAAGCTGTCTGCTTCGGGTAAAATAGGATGGGTTATACCCATACTATTTTACCCGAAACGAAATATCTCGCGATTCTGTGATTAGATCTTGGCGATTTTAGGCTCATTAGAATCGTCTCATCGAGATGGTCATTTTGGCGGTGAAATCATTTAAAATGGTCCGGTGTGTAAAAAGTTATTCGCTGCTGAATTTTACTAGTAATGACGCAAATCCGCCCATATGCTTTCAATTATATCTTGTTTACAGTTAGCCGTCTATGGAAAATCTATCATGATAGGTTTTCCATAGACGAATAACTACACACAAAATATAATTGAAAGCCAGCATGTGGGTTTTCGCTTGACGGCACTCATATAGTACAAGCTGATTTTTAAAATCCGTGCATAGCGCTAGGGTTAGGAATTACAGTTGAACAGTATAATATGGTTTTAAAATCGGGCTGTTATACAGTACCATACTGATTTGCTATAATTTCTGTTATATTAATGTCACTATACTTTATCGTTATTGGTTATTAGCATTGGACGCATCACTGGATATTGGAAAACTGCCCGAACTGTCCTATTCAATATTATCGAACATTGTTCAATCCCAACTGTAACTGTGCCTCATTGGACATTGGACACCACATAGGACAATTTTGAAATGTCCGATGTCCGGTAAAAAAAACACCGGATATATGACTTGCCCAACCCTGAATCTCGATTACCAAAACAAACATATAAAAACTAAATGGTAAAATTATAAACGAATAGCTTACAAATGATCGATATATTAATTTTCAAAATTAATGAAAATGAAAATAATACTAACGCTAAGCAAAGAAGTAATGAGCAGTTAATTTGATTCAATAATGAATCACTTGGTCAACCGGGTTATTCAAGTTATTAGAAAATGTCCCAGCTTGTGAAGAGTTGTAAAGTTACAGTAATTAAATTTTGACTTATCATGGTAACTTTACTTGGTAAGTTGCCATTAACAACCCTGGTTAAACCCAAAACTTAAATTTAAAATAGTTGACTGAACTTCTACGCTTGATCGCTTGATTTTGATTTGTCGATTTATTGTCGATCATTTTGTAAAATTATCGATAAAAAAAATTTTTTTTAGAAATTTAGATCGATCCCGGTATACGAAAAAAATTATGCAGGTTTCGTCAAGCAAAAACAAAGCAAAAAACAAACAGTCAAAGGTGTCAAAACCGAAAGTTGTCTCTACACAGATAACGAATAAAGACAGTACTACTTCGAAGGAATCAGTATGTGTTCCGCAACAGCGTGCAGAAGTTGATTTACCAAGAAGTGGTACTATAGTGCAGCCTTTCAAAGTCAAAAGAGAAAGAGCTAATAAGGAGGATCTTTTTGATGTAAACTTTATATCATTTTTACTTTTTTTTCAATTGCTTTTTTCGATTTTAATTTTCTCTTAAATAACAGGTCCTTGAGACGGAAAAACCTGCAAAAAAGAGAAAGTCTTCTATACTAAAGCCTGGGTCCACTCAGGCTGCTGATAGTGATAAAATTTCCGATTTACCACAAAATAATAAAAATAATAAACATAATAATAAACATGACGATATTGTTGAAACTCTTGGTTTTAAGGTAAGTAATTAAGACGCATACGTCTTTTGCATTCGTGAAGTTATTTAATTTTTTTTTCTTTAATTATAGAAATTAATTGTTGGAGCACATTGTCTAGGACAAATTACGAAAATAAATACTCTAGATATGATTATATCTCTTCCAAACCAGTTAAGAGGAATTGTTACTATTACAGGCATTTCTGAACAATTATCCAAGAAAGCTTCAGATATCGCCAATATAAATTATAATAATGATGATGATGATGAGGATGATGAAAATCAATTACCTGAATTATCAAAATTATTTAAAGTTGGTCAATGGGTTCGATGTATTATTACGCGATTGGAAAGTAGTGATGATAAAATAAAAAATAAGCAAATTGAACTAAGTTTAATTCCGAAACTTGTTAATTGTGATATTGTCTCTACCGACATTTCTAAAGGCATGGTAATGTACTATTTTATTTAATAATTATTATTTTATTTGATAGTAAATATGCTAATTTTTTATAGATATTATCCGCGTCCGTTGAAAGTAGAGAAGACCATGGTTATGTTCTCTCAATTGGAATGAGTGGGATGAATGTTTTTTTGCACAATAAAGAAGCTTCAAACTATGAATCAAAGTTCAACGATGGTCGTCCACTTATTGTGGGTCAGTTATTAAATGTTTGTGTCATAAGCACAGCTGATAAAAATCTGATAATTCAAGTAACTGCCAATCCGGATGTTGTTTCAACCGCGACTTTATCTGATAAATTTGTAAAAAATATAAGTTCTCTTGCTCCTGGAAATTTGATCAAGGTGCGCATTGATCAAGTACTCACTAATGGCTTAGTATGTAAATACAACGGAATAAAGTGTGAAGTTGATTTATTACACCTTGGGAAAGTAGCGACTTCAAATACTCAGGATCTACATAAAGTCTTTAATGAAGGTGACGAAATCACTGCAAGAATTGTTTATATATCATTCTCAAATGAAGCAAAAACTATTAGATTGTCCCTTGAACCACATGTTCTTCAACTTGAACCATCTAGAAATGTATTTCCGATTGGTGTTCAACTAGGAGAGGTTGTTATTTTTATTAACGCTAGAGTGTTAATTCTTATTTTGTTCATTTGCTTATTTCTTATTAAATGTATATTTAAATTATTATATTTAGCTGGTCAAGAGCAATATAATAAGAGTTAAAGAAGAGATTATAACATTGTCTTTGGAACCTTCACAAATTCATGCTAATCTCAATATAGGACATTTATCTGATCACTTGTCATCTACTCATCTTTCAAACATTATAAAA